CTAAGGTCGAAAATTGGTGAGCTAGTTCATCAATAGACGACGAAAGGGGATCCTCACAACAGGTGGTAAGACGGGAGTATAATTCCCAATCTACTTGAGCAAATTGCCAACGAAGGTTACGAAACGGTCGGGTATATGTAGCAGAAGTAAGGATAGGAAAGTGATCACTATCATGTAAATCTGGAAGAACAGACCACATGAAATCAAGTGCAATGGGTGAGGAACAGATGGAAAGATCAATGCAGGAGAGAGACTGAGTGTGAGAGTCAAAATTGGATAGGAGCACCTGTATTCAAAATATGAAGAGGGTGAGAAGCGAGAAGAGTCTCCAACTTATCACCACGAGAGTCATATTGGGACCCTCTCACAGGTGATGGTGAGCGTTAAAGTCACCCAACAGTAAGATGGGCAGGTGTAGAGAAGAAATTAAAAACGCAATATCAGAATTACAGAATGCACGGGAGGGAGAAAGATAGAGCAAACTGTAATCCATCTGTGTAAATAAATCCGAGATGCAGTATAATGCAGCGGGGAATGAATAAAAACTTGTTGATACGGTATATCAACGTGCACAAGAAGCATGCTTTCATTAAAACATTCGTCAGGTAAAGAATCTGAAGAATATAATAGCATGTAGCCCGAAACGGGATGAATGCCAGCAGAACGAATTTTGGGTTCTTGCAACCCAACACATACTGGGAACAAATGGGAGATCAACACTTGGAGTTCTCCCCACGAATATTCCATTGTTAAAAGACATTATGTATCGAAATAAAATTGGCGACAATAAGAAACGATAACATCTATAGGCTATTAGGATCTGTAAAGTCAACATGTGGGGGTAACGGTAAGAATGTAAGCAAGGAAGAATGTGAATGTTGTGGAGGGATAGATTTTTGAGAGGTTCGTGAAACAGAAAGGGTAGAGGGAGTCCCGGTGTCCATCGGAGGTGTCCTCTCCGCTATATGCTGGAAATAACGTCTAATGTCTCAGTCGTTAAGGAAGCCGACGATGCCATGATGACAGAGACAGGAGAGGCGTTGCAAGGATACGTCGGAGAAACTACAGAGGTAACCAAAGAGATCTAAGGGGCGCAGGGAGTATGAAAGTAGAGAGATGCGTCGGCTGGGGTAGAAGAGGCCTGCAGTGTACGAGGTGAGGAAGGAGGCTGGAGGGTAACTATGGAGGAAGACAGGAGGGGAACAGGAGAAGAGGGGACTACACGAGGGAAAGGGCGAACCTCTACCTTCGTGTGAGAGCTGGAAAGAGGGTGAGAACGAGGCTCCAAGGTAGGAGATATATTTTGTGCAGGTGATGGATGAGAAGAAAGTGCAGGTCTGCGAGGTTTTGTAGATTGTGTAGATTCAGAAGCAAGCGAGTGAGATGAAGAAGTAGGAGGAAGTGGTGCAGACTTAGGAGTGTCAGAGGATAAAACGCAAAAGAATTAGAAACTGAGGCAACCCTGGAATCACAGACGTAGAGGGATTGAGAGGCGGGAGGACCATCGAGGTTGGAGGTCTTCGGGCTACCCGAGCATACGGGAAACGAGGGAGTTTACCTTCTCTCGTTCCTTATGATAAACCTGGCAACGGCGTGAAAAGGAAGTATGAGGCTCCTTGCAATTAAGACAAGATTGAGGAAGACTACAGGACGCATTGGAGTGATCTGCTCCGCCGTAGACCGAGCATTCCGTCGCAGATCTGCAGTGTTAGTGGGGTGTCCAAAACGCCAGCAATTACGACACTGTTGTGGAGTGGGAACAACTTAATGGACCTCAAGACGATGGCCCACAATATAGACAGAGGGCAGAAGCTCACGGCAGTTGAAGGTTAAATGAGCGATGTTACTAGGAAAGCTCCTCCCCCACGAGCATGCCGGATGTACGTATCTACCTTGAGGATAGCGAGGTTCTGAAGTGCTAATTGTTCTAAAATATCCTCGCTGCAAGACAAAAAAACCACTTTGTACAATGGTACATGGCAAGGCTACAGTACCACTGCAAGAATTAAGAGTAGCGTACTTACGAACGGTGACTGGAATGTTATCTATGGAAGTGATGCGGGAGAGGGCATGAGCTTGCTTTGAATTTTGCACTGTTATGACACGTGCTCCTTTGAAGAGCATGGAAAGATATATTTTGGCCAACATGCCAAAAAAGAGCTTTACCAATTCCATGGCCAGAAAGATAATCAGTTTGAGATGTTGTTTGTAAAGAAAAGAATGTTGTCCATTGTGTACTCATTAGTCCGGTATTCAAAGGTAGTGTCGTATAGGTTTTTTTGAGTGGTCAATGACGAACTGTCATCAGTAGGTTGTCGTGGATGCTTAGGAGTAGAACCGCAGGTGGTCTGACCCGAGGGAGGTGGGGGATCCGAGAACCGACGCACCATATTCAGGGAAGCCGGATGCATTGTGAAAGTCTTGCTAGAGGCAGCGGTATGAACTGAAATGGGTGATGCCACAGCACCTGTAGCAGGTGACAAAGTGTCACCGGCAGAAG